TTTTCACAACTAAGAGACCAAGACAAGCTCTCTGCAAATTGAAAATTTTGGCCTTTTTGTGGCTGCCTGTTCCCCCGCAACACTGACAGCAGGGTAGTGGTTTGGGCAATTGCTTGCCGGCCACTACCTGCTGTTCTCTCGCTTACTAATATTTGTTGTTTTTTTTGTCTTTCTTTTTTTTTAATTTTTAGTTCATTCAATTAATTTTGAAAAATAGAAATAAAGATAAAAATTAAATTAAATTTAAAAGTTTAATTTGTACCTAAAATTAGAGTTTAAGGCTTTGAAAAATCGATTTGGATTTTTATTGGATTTATTGGGCTTTTAAGTCTAAATATTTGAATTTTGATTTGAAAATGATTCAAAAATAATTAATTTAGATAAATTTAAAAAATATTAATTTAATTATTGTGTTCAAATTAATTCAAATTAAATTATTTAAATCAAACATAAAAATTAAATCGATTTAGATTAAATTAAGTTGAATTTTAAATTATGTAAATTAATTCAAAGACGATAAATGACAAATTTAAATGAATTTAATTTAATTAAATCTAATTAATCTAATTTAATTAACTCAAATTAAAATATTAAAATTAAATTTAAAAATTAAATAAATTCGAGTTAAATTTACTAGATGGGCCTTTGTTTGGGTTTTGTGCTTGTGTTATCTGCAAAGAGGCCTAATTCTTGGATGGGACCCAGATTTGGGCTTTTGATCATGTAAATTCAAGAAATTGGCTAAAACTAGGATCAGTTACACCAGGTATTTTGGCCCAAAAAATTTACACTTGCGATATTTAAATTATAATCAAATTTTCATTTTGATATTTAAAATTTAAAAATTCATGATTAAACACTGCAATTTTGCTTTTGTTTATCAATTTGCATATCAATGCTGGGTTCATTGTTAGCACTACTTTGGATGTTGTTATAATACCTGAGATACAAGGCAATCAGGAATATTTATATAATAAGATTGAGACTACATTGGCTATTCCTAAATTGTACTGTAAGCTATATAAGACTTTTCAAATCTATCATCTATAAAAATAGGGTATTTATGTGGCTTTTACAATATTTCTTTTTAAATTCTTTATTTGTTTTAATGAAAATATGTTAATTAAAATCATATATTTTATTATGAAAAATAGACAATAACTTTGACAAAACTTTTATATTTTTAAAAAATAAAAATAAAATTATTTTATATCAAAAAGTAATAATTGATGTGAAATTTTAAAAATTAACTATATTCAATTACATCATTTAATTAAAAAAAACACCGTAAGTGCTTGCATATAAATAAAAAAAATACTAAATAATGATGTTTAAATAGAAGAAATGTCGTAATTGCTTGAATTTAAAAATTAAAAATACTCAATTACAGTATTTGATTATAAAAAATATCATAATTACTTGCATTTAGAAATTGAATATATTTAATTAAGGCATTTAATTAAAAAAAGTCATGATTGCTTGCATTTAAAAATTTTAATGTCGTTTCATTTAAATAAATGTCGTTTAGAAGCTAAGTTTAAATATATTAAATTATAAATAATATAATACCAACAATAATGATAATAATAATAAAATTAAAATTTCTGTATTCAATCATAATTACTAAAAATTTTATAATTATCATTTCATATTTTGAAAACGTTAAACAATAATTTGTTATGAATACTTTTGAATATATTTTTTCAATTCATATAGCTAAACTAATATTCAATCATTAATTTCTCATTCAATTATCAAAATGAGTCTTTAAAATGTTTATTATTAAAAATGCTCTTTTTATTAGGTAATGATAATTTATAAAATTAATATTAATCTCAACAATAAATAAATTGAATCAGTTAAAAATTTAAAAAATTTTTATCCTGACGGAAGCATTTATATTTGATGCAATGTCGTTTATGATATTATATATTGTCAATAAACCACTTAATGGCACATCATTAAGAAATTAATCTTAAATATATTTTTAAAATTAAGTACATTTATTTTTTAAAATTTAAAAAATAATTTTTATAAAATATTATTTATAATTCACTAACAATATAAATTATAAAACATTTATATATTAAAAATACATTAAATATAAACTCTTAATAATATATTGATTGGACATGTTTTCTGAGACGGGTCAACTTTTGCCACACTGTTGAGTGTGAGTGTGTTGCTCACATGTTGGTATGATTGAACTGTTTGTTCACGGAAACAACCAGCTTCCCCTCATTAACCATTCAATTCATCAAATAAAGCCTTTAAGACAGTCATTCTGAAAAGAAAATGCCCTTCACATGAAAGTTTGATTAACGTATTTATATTCAAGCATTCCAAAGTAAGACACATGTCACGCTTTTACTAGTTCTTATATCCTATTAATTAACGCAGTTAAAATAAATAGTAATTAATAAATATAAATAATGGCCAAAAATATATAAATAATAAATCGTACCCAAAAAAAAAAATTGCTAAAAGATTTCACTATTAATTAATTTGCTAAAAGTATAAATTGAAGAACAATAATATTTCACTCCTTGTATTCTATTTCCTTACCATAACATTTTTAATTCTTCACAATTGAGTCCCTTGTGTATTAATAAACATTTAATACTTAAACGATTTTAAAATAATGATTATATTTTTACTTTCAAACTGCATATCTTATAAAAAAATTATAGATATTTGAGATTGTGAGATATTAAATTATAATAAAAACTTAAATAAAATTTAATACTCGATAATAATTATTTTGTTTTAAAGATATTCACGAAATAATTTGCTCAATTCAGATATTTACAATCGAAAAATATTGAATTTTTTTTTTTTTTTAGATAGGTCTTGAATTGGTAATGGCTATAGAGAATTTTACAAATTAAAACTTAAAATTTTTAAATTAAAGTTTAATCTCTCATTGAATAATACAACATAAAGCATAAGAAAGTCCAAAGTTTAGGTGCAAATGACAATTTATTGGCATTCACTTTCAACCTACAAAAGAATTAGGTCGGCTAAAAGAGTCAGTAACCTTTTTCATTTTTATTAAAGAGTAACATCATCCATGCTGATTTGTCAGCTTTTTCGTCACTAAGAAAGTCATTTTTAATTAATTAATTAATTAATGATGGGCAAATAAGTTAGCTAATTTAATAAATATGTAGGAACAAAAAGTTGGTAGACTATTATATTTATATATTTACATACTTATTATTATAATAATAAATTAACAAAGTATTGAACTTTTAATTTTTATTTTTTAATAATTAAGTATTAAAAATATTAAAAAAGAAGTTGCACTAAGATAAGTATGTTCGTATAATTTCCAATAAAATATTTAGTTGTAATTATCCTTTTAAAATTGTTTTTATTGAAATAAGTTAGTTTTTTAAAATATGATCTTCATAAAAAAAAATGATAGGCATTCAATTTTAGAATAGAAAACTAGGTAAGGTTAAGTCTATAAATTTGTTATTAAGGTCAATTTATAAGTGTAAAAATTCTTGATAAAAAAAATTAGAATTTTGTGTTCAATCCAAAAAAAAAATTATTTTGTGGTACACATCAAAGTAATTAGAATTGAGGGAAAACAAGTAAAATCATGTAAGACCTTAATTTTAATGGAAAAAGTATGGGATAGGAGCTTGGAGCATATCAAATCTATCTATATTAACTTTTGGGTAAGAGTTAGGTATATATAATTGAATTTGAGCTTAAACTTTACTTAATTTAACCTATTTAACTCAAATTTGAACAATTATAAAAAATCGACTTGAATTTAAATTAATATAATTTTAAAAATTAATTATTTAAATTCAAAATTTTTTAAATTTATATAATCCAAATAATTTTATCCGAAATAATTTGAATTAATTTCAAATTTACATAATTTAATCATGATGCAATTTGTCCAATAATCACAAGTTAAATATATTTATATAAACAGATGTTATCTAGAGTAATACATAATTTTTTTAAAATATAAAATAAAATAAAAAATAATTTATATATATATTTTTAACAAAAAGGTCCGACCATAAAGATTATAACAAAATATTTCATTTACAGTTGTTTTATTATAATATTACAGTTAACCAATTACAATAAAAAAATATAAAAATTCACCACCTAAAATTATAAACTTTACATAATTTATTGACAGACCCTATAAAATATTAAATTATAATTAATTAATTACATTATATATTAAATTTTAACTTTAGACTTACCTAATATCATCCGTACGAAACAAATGAAACTAAACCTCGTTAATATGTCGTCCTCAAAGCTCACGGGCGTAGTGATAGTCAAATAATGATTAAACCGAAAAGAAGATGGGAGTCGTTGCATCGTTGAAACAGCGATGTAAAAAAGTCTTCCACTTAACTACCGGTGAACTGCTCCAAAATGCCAAAAAAAAGAAAAAATCTTGCTCCTGGCAAAGATATGATAAGGATTACTAACAATTCGAAGTTGAATCAAAGTTGAAATCTTAGAATCATGATTATCTCCTGTTTATAAACTGATTTATCTTTATCTTTGCACTGCACCTATGTATATAAAATAATTCAGCTCCCTTCTTGGATTACTCTCTGTTTTCCAGTGACTTACTAAAACCCTTTGCCACTCCCTCGTACCGTTCTTATTTGTAGTTATTAACCTCTTCTTCTTCCATGCAAGCAAAAACCCAGTAATGGTTTTGGCTATGGTGTTTTTAAAGAGGCTACTACATTGCTTGATCCTGCTGAGTTTGATATTTGTAGTTAATGGGCAGTTTCCAACAACCCTTGACGGACCCTTCAAGCCCGTAACTGTGCCTGTAAACTATAGCATTCTTGGAAATGTTACTAGCTTGCCAAGTAATGAGGCTCCTTTGCTGAAGCCCAAGATAGATTTTCAGCCTGAACAAATTGCACTTTCTCTCTCTTCAGACTCTAGCTCAATTTGGATTACTTGGATCACAGGTACTATGTTTTCCTTTTTGTAAGCTGCATTATGCTGTTTATCCATTCTTGTATCTGGTCTTTGCTTTCTCATTTGTTCCTGTAACCAGTTTATGGCGATTCATGACAAGTGTACTTTTGATACCAAACAAAAACAATTATTGTCAGGAAACAGGAAAAAAACAAAATGTCTTAAGAGTCATTGAAGTCCTTGTGCCATTGAGTGAAAACTGTTCTTTTTTTTTAATGCTCCCTGCTGATGTCTTGTTGTGAGATTTGGGTTTTTTATGGCCCTTTGTTTTCCTCAGATTTTATTGTGGCATTTGTTTACTTCTGCTTATGAATTAAATTTTTCAGGGGAATTTCAAATTGGTGATGAGATAAGACCACTGGATCCTCAAAGTGTAGCAAGTGTTGTTCAGTATGGAATATATAGATCTGGCAGGAATTATCAAGCTACAGGATATTCCTTTGTTTACAATCAACAATATCCTAATGGACTCAAAAACTACACTTCTGGAATTATACACCGTGTTCTTGTCACAGGTATTCCATAATCCATCCTATTGATGCTAGAGCTATGCACTTTTTATGCTCTTCGAGTATTTGTTTGGTTTTCAGTCACTCTATTCTGTTCTGTTTATTTTGCTTTCTATGAACCAGGAAGCATAAAGGTCTTCACTGGATTCTCATGCATAGCTGTTTCTTAAGCCACTTGTAAAGAACCATGGTGGGACAACTGTTCCCTGTGACTGAATGATTAATCATCAAATATTGAACTATGGAAGATTGCTGATTCATGTTGCATTAGCATATTCATTGATTCAAAGTTCCTATGCTTGAATTTTGACTATCATAAGCAACTATGTCAGTCTTAATGAGACTTAATGCTCTATTAGTCAAAGAACAAACATTTTGCTTATTGATGGTTGCAGTTGAGTTAAAACAACATTTTGGTTCATTATGTTAGCGGTAAATGAGTTTAGAAACAACTTCCATCCAGGTTTCCCTGAATCTAAATTGAATTTCAAGATAATTATATGCACAATTGGTGAGACACGGTGTTGTATTCTCAACTACAAGCAATATTAAGAACTGCTCACCTGAAAGTAAACATAGGCATCAAACTAAATAAACAATTTCTAATGTAATATTAGTACATGCGCGGAAGGGAGGGAGATGTATGTATTTGATTGCAGATGAACGTGCATTATCTTAAATCATTTCAGTTAGTGTCACATTACTATCATGTCTTTCTGCAGGGTTGGATCCTGATACTCTGTATGAATATCAATGTGGAGATCCTTCTATACCAGCAATGAGTGATGTTCATTATTTTAGGACATTGCGTTCCACGCCAGGGGACTATCCAAGCAGAGTAGCAGTGGTTGGAGACTTGGGTCTTACTTATAATACAAGTACAACAATTAGTCACATGCTAGCCAACCATCCTGATCTTGCTTTGTTCGTTGGGGATTTAAGTTTTGCCGACTTATTTCTTACAAATGGAACTTTGTCTGATTGTTGCTCTTGTTCTCCTTTGGAAGAAACATATCAGCCTCGTTGGGACTATTGGGGAAGGTCAAACTTCAATATCTTACTTGATAACCTATTATTTTCTTCACTCTATCCTGTCAAATTGAAAATTTTTGAAAGATTATTGTGTAGCAGTAGCTTATGAAAGGTGAAATGATTGCCAAATAGTCAAAATATGAGTGGTATGGTCCTTCTAATCATACAAATAACAAAATTTCTTGGAACTTAACTCAAAATTCAAAGCTGTATTATCATTCTCTAATATATAGTTGTGTTGAGAATAATTCGTACCTTCTCTAAAAGAGGCACTTTTTTACTATTACTTTAATATAACCTGCATTAAGCCTGATATAGGAAACATGTGGTAAGCATGGAACTTAATTTAGGTAGCCTTCCTCTTTTGTAGGTACCTTTTGACTTTTCAAATTCAGTGGTTCTCTGTGAATTTAGGAATGCTAAAGCTTCTTTATAGTATTAGAGATAAAATCAACAATGAAAGTGGAATATTTGTTGGCAGGTTTATGCAGATTCTAACAGCTAGTGTTCCAACAATGGTGATAGAAGGGGATCATGAGATTGAAAAACAGGCTGATAATCAGATGTTCACTGCTTACACTACTCGATTTGCATTTCCATCCGATGAAAGTGGATCCACTTTGTACTATTCTTTTAATGCTGGTGGAATACATTTTGTGATGCTCGGTGCATATGTTGCCTATGATAAATCATGTAAAGTCATCACTTCAAACCTTTTCCTTATTTTCCTTTCTTATTTTCTATATGGTCTTTTCTTCTTGTGAACTTGGTTTATACATGCATCTGACTCGCTTGTTTGTTCTCGTCCTCTAAGCAAACATTATTTTTCACCACCAATCATGTTTACTTACCTCATAATGACACTATCTTGCTCTTTGGGTTGCAGCTGATCAGTATAAGTGGCTGGAAAACGACCTGAGTAATGTCAACCGAAGTGTTACACCATGGCTGATAGCTGCTTGGCATCCTCCCTGGTACAGTACGTACAAGGAACATTATAGAGAAGCAGAGTGTATGAGAGTGGAAATGGAAGGCTTACTATATGCGCATGGCGTCGATATTGTTTTCAATGGACACGTAAGAGCAGTAGTATTCCATTGTTTGAATAAATTAAATTTCTAGTTCTTATTCCTGACTTATTTGTTTCATTCTTTGAAAAGTGTTCTACCTGTAATAAAACAAGTTGAGAAGAAATTTGCTGACAATGAATCAGGTTAATGCCTATGAGAGATCAAACCGAGTATACAACTACACTCTGGATCCGTGTGGTCCTGTTCATATCACGGTTGGCAGTGGTGGAAATGAAAAGAACTTGACACTTGAGCATGCTGATGAACCTGGTAATTGTCCAGATCCTGTTTCCACCCCAGACAGATTTATGGGTGGCTTCTGCGCATTCAATTTTACATCAGGTCCGGCGACTGGTAATTTCTGCTGGAACGAACAGCCTGAATATAGCGCTTATAGAGACAGTAGCTTTGGCTATGGGGTTCTTGAGGTAGACACACAATCTCTCTTTCCCTCTTTCTCATGCACACACACACACACACACACACACACACACATCAAATGGACATTAAATTACATGTGCGCAAGCACTCATTGCCATGCTCTGCACTGTTTTTAGAGCTACTCTTTAGAAAAGGCCACAGATCTGAATAGGAAGATGTCAATGGAACTTTAAACATGCATCTTGAATTGAAAAAAACAGTTAGCTAGATTTTCCAAATAGGAAGTGTTTAACCTTTTTTTAAAAGGAAACGCATACAAAATTGGAGCACCTGCATTGAAGGTTCAGTTTGTATCACTACATTTTTACTGGAAGCCATGAATTTCTTATGTGGTGACATACTAAAAGAGTTTCATGTAGCCAATTAAAATCTAGCTAACCTTCAAAAATACCAAGCAATTATGTAGAAGCATCTACAGGAAGTTATGCAATTTTTGGAAGTCAGCCAACTGATAAGTAGTGTTTGATGTGGCTTCCAGGTGAAAAATCAGACTCATGCCTTGTGGATTTGGTACCGTAATCAGGACTCCTACTGGGCAGGTGCGGATGTAATTTACATTGTAAGGCAGCCAGATCGTTGCCCCTGTTGACCCAAAGGTGATTAAGCTTTTGAATTTTGACAGCTGAAAGTGAAAGTGGCATGATATTTTATCTCAAAAATCACGTTCTTAGTGGTCACACCCTTGAAATGAAAAAAATAGATTTCCAAGGAACATTTGTTTCTTATATGCATGAAAAAATACAAATTGAAATGAAAGTGTCAATTCCACAAGAAAAACTGTGGCTTTATTTTAACCAAACCTTTTCAAAAACCATGAAAGGGGGAAACCTTCAAATTTGATAATTGCGTTAACTGCTTTATTTTAGCGAAAAATTTCTTTGCAATCAATGTCACTTATCAAGGTTTATGAACTATGATTTTATGATGAAATATAGTTAATGCAGAGTATCATTAATAAACAATGATAATTTTTTACGTCTAACTTTATTTCAACCTCATAGTCTGCCCCTTCCCCGAAGTTTTTCTTGCTTATTTATTTGCCGGGTGTTTCTGTCTCAGGTGCAAAAGTCCCATAATCATTCAAGGAAAGAGCAGACAGTTGCAAATTGTTCAGAAAAAGGCTTAGGGTGGTGTGTCCATGACTCTGACTTAACACAGTTTCTATTTCCAGGCTTGGTGGAAATCATTCTTTGTTATTTAGGGATGCCTTCAAATGTAATCCAGGATATTCTTCTGGGGCTAATTTATACAATTAGGGTTTGATCCGATAATTTTTTAAATGTGAAACAAATATGATATTAATATACGAAATGTCAAACACATATACAAATTGCCATGTTACAACATCATCGGTAGGCAGATATCAGATTGCCAATAAACTGGTGGTGATCAAACCCAGAAAAGATCAAGATTCATCAGAAGAAAATCCATAGATACATAGCTGTTTGTTTACACTTCTCACATATGCTCCAGTAAACACACAAGAATAAGGATGAAAATTTGAATTGAATTTAAGAGCTAAGAAGGTTGGATTCTAACAGAGATCTTGCTAGTGGTAGCTCTAGCTTCGTGATACTCATAATGCTAGATCAGATCTCTAGATTAACTATGTGAACAGAACTAAAAGATTGAAATCATGGGATTTTGTTCCATAAAGCTAGAAAGAAGGCTCCATCTTCTAACAAAAATGCCTCTTCCTGTCATTGGTTCATGCAGCTGGGCTCAAAAGATCCATATTGGGTGCAAAATAAATGATAGAACAAGTAAGAGCATGATGGACATTGAGCTTGTGGCGACTATACAGTCCAATGAAGCCTGGGATTCATCTGTTGTGGGTACTGGAGGGGTCAGTCCAGGGTTATTTATTCCGGTACTGCTATCGCCATTGATTGGTGTAGTTGTCGTAGTTGTCGGTACATTCGGGTTGTTTGTCACTGTTGTTGGTGTTGTTGGTGTAGCCATCCCTCCAGCTTTGCTGTAAAATCCATAACTCAAGCTGTTAAATTGCACAAATTGTAGAGAATAGGGTAACATACAAGTGTTTCGAACATGTGTAAGAATCTCAAATAAAATCCGGTCAAGCTTACATTAATCGAATTTGGTTGGTATTTGTCAAAAATCCAGAACTGTTGAATGACAGATTTAGAGTTTAGACAAGTGATTTTTGCATAACAAGAGGGACTAAACCAAGCAAAGTTCAGGAACATTTTACGTACAATTCTTTTTACAATTGTCCAATTATAATAAAAAAATTATGTAGGAATCCCCTATATGTGTAAAACTCCATATAAAATTATGATGGATCCCACACAATTCTGAATTATAATTGGTTAATTGCACAATAGAATGATTATTTGTGATATGCTCCCAAGTCAAAGTCCATCATAACATAGCAGTAATTCATATCCTTCCAAATTTCCCATAACTAATCAAAAAGCATGCTTGAAAAGTGAAACAAATGCTAGAAGTACAATATTTGAAACAGACAGTCCTAATTGTTTGTTTTGATTATTAGAATATATAGATATTTATATATTTCCATTAAAGCAAAATTAACACCAACTTCTTTCTCAATCTATTCTATTTCAAGCCACTAGTGGACATGCTTTGAGCCAAGTATTACGGTACAAGATGGTCTATGGGACACACAGTATGGCATCTGCATTCTTGATGCCATGCTTTCCCACAATCCCATCTGCCTTAAAGTGCTTTGGCTAGCAGCCTTATTCCCTACATCAAAAGAGCAACTAAGTAGCTAACCATAGGACCATGAGTTGTAGTAGCAAAATGATTATGTACTCAAATTGGGTAATTGGCCGAAGTATGGCCATCCTACTTGTATAATGGAAGAACCGTCGCCATTATTAAAAAACAATAAGGATCTTCACTACTCTTATCATGTAATCGCAGTGAAAAGTCCCCTATTTTTTAATCGTAGTGAGGATCACTCCCCTCTAGTAATTTACTCTACAAAGCAAGAAAAACGTGCTTTGTCGTCTTATGTTGAACAAAGACTAGTTATACAAACATTTTTCTACCTCCAAGATAAAATATGTGAATCGAAACAAACTTGATCTTGTTTAGACTTGTAGTAAGTGTATCAAATAAAACACAACTTAAAAGCATTATATTTCATTACTTTAGTTGCCTTTTAAAAACAACAACCAAATAAAGTGCTGTCATTTTATATATTCATGTAACATTTACTTTTGATAAAGAAACGATACATCTATGTTGACTGCAATTTATGGATGAATCATGTGATCTAATTATGCACTACAATTTTATTTTTAAAAGAAAAAACTATAGTGCTATAGTAGTACTTTTTTTTCCCTTTTTTTCCTCTGCTAGCCATCTCAACCATAACAAATTGAAAATTCTATAAGATCAATATTATGCTTTCCCAATCCAGCCACCCTTAAAAGGTGGCATCCAGCAAATTTGAAATTCAAATATCAAAACTTGCAACCCTTTTCCCTATTGTTAGATTGCGGCCCTTTTGTACCAAAAAAATATTATGCTTTTGGATATGACTCTTTTCTTCATTGAATTTGAGTGTAATGCCCTTTGCTTTCTCTCCCCCCAGACAAAAGGCATTGCCATTTTTTCAAAATTTTACAACATTAGTTACATTTTTCTATGATATCTATTGCTAGAGATCCAAGAAAGTTGTTAAAGACGATTGTCTATTGACACTATTAAAATCCTAACCTCTGAGGGATACATACACAAATGTTACTACATGTAATGACGCATGGATAGCTAAGATTAATTAGTCTTTAACATTTCCTTGGAATTTTATAACATTAATAATATTTTTCTACTTAAAAAAGAATCTTGCAACAAAAACCTCAAAGAGGGAACCAATAACTTGTCCAATCTCAACCTTCCATGCAATACACACATGGTATTACACATGAATACCAACAATTTGTAACATGTAACTATTACATGATACTTTTTTTTTTTTTGTGCAAGTATTACATGATACTTTGAGATTGAACAATCTAACTATAGTTAAGGTTCATTTAGTACAATAGAAGTAGGAATATTTCGTATTTACAATATAATTTTAAGGACAAAAGAAAAGTGGAGGCCAATAAGCCACTAGACCAAAAATGATCAATTGCCCACTAGTACAATTGTAGTATTCCAGTGGCATCCAAATGTCTCTCCAATGCCATTTGACACAAACTTTCAAGGCAATTGCATCTTCACTAGAGGTGCGTTGCAATCCATATTAACTTTGACACCTCATTTTTGGGTTCAATATGTGCATTACATTTTCTTTTTTCTAGTTTGAGTATTGATAAAAAAGTGAGTTTTAGCCTGAGAAGACCACCTAAGTCCATTTAAGGGCAATTTGATGATGTAGAATTGTGCAATACAAAAATCTTTTAGAGCTAATTTAGATTGCAACGGACCTCTAATAAAGATGCAATTGCTTAGAAAGTCCATGCTAAATAGCATTAAAGAGTCATTTAGATGTCACTAGAATGGTGCAATTGTATCGGTGAGCAACTGATATTTTTGATCCAATGACCTATTACCTCATTTTTTTAATCCTTAAAATTATATTATAAATACAAAAATTCTTATTTTATTTTATTTTTAATTCTTTATTTAAAAATGTAAAATAATTTTATTAATTTAATATAATAAAAATATTATTTAATATATTATTAATTTTTAATTTTTTATTAACAAAATTATTACCTAACATTAAAATAATTTAATATTTTTTTAATTATTTTATTAATTTTATAAATATTAAATAATTAAAAATTTTATTATATACAATTTTTAATCATATTTTTATTTTCATTACAATTAATCTCACCGATAATTAAACATGAGACATCTATTGCTAGACAGAACTAAGCATCATTAACAGAACAGAGTAAAATCAGATTTGCATCATTACCCAAGACCAAGAAACAGAGCCACGGGTAACTCCAATGTCCCATATCAAGATTATATCAACCGTTGGATGTCCTTGGACAAGGTGTACCATCCAACGGTTAAAAAACTGAGCTGGTCCCAACAAAACAAAACAGAAGTAAAACAGTAAAAACAAAGTGGGAAACCCGAGGCATGGAAAGAAGAGACCAGACATAAGCCTAGTGAAACTGACATGCTAAAAGTGACGACTGTCTTCTGGAAAAGATGGACGGTTAGAGATCTATCAAATTATAGAACCAGCAGAGAAGCTCAGTCACTCTCGAGAATCACAACCATTGGTTGTGCAAAGATTTAACTCCATCATTAGTACTAGCATACCTGGCAAGACTACGCGACATACAAAAAAAAAAAAAATCAAAATCTGCTGAAAATAGTGGAAACCCAAGTTTTTTGTTGCACATAACATGTTTTAAAGACAGATTTTTAACAATGGAAGAGAGAAAAAACGTGCATACCTTTGAGAAGATGGGTACATACAAGATCCAAAACCTACAAAACAAAACCAAAAAAGCATAACTAAATAAGCAAAAGCTCATTTCTAGAAGTTAACAGAAAAAGGAAAAGAAAGTTGTAGGGAAAGAACAAACTGGGATCAGTTTTAGCAATATTGGCAGTGCCAGCAAAGTCACAGGAACCAGGTGCCATGGCCATACGCTGGTAGTAGCTATTGAAAGCATAAGAAGCATGAGCCAGGATAGTGTTGGGAAGAAAACAAAGGCCATTTGACTGAATAGGGGTGCAGTCAGCACCAGAGCCACATGCATAGTCTAGTGCAGTTTGCAGAGCTTGGTTACTTGCATCACTCCTGGCCACACACCAGCTTGTTCCTTGAACAACCAAGAAGCTGTTTACTAGCAAGGAGAGCAAGAACAATACCAGCTTCAGGACTGTTACTGCCATGGCGAAGAGTTAAGTTGGTAAAGCAAGAGAGATATTCAGAAGAGTCCAGAAGAAAAAGAAGCTAAGAGGAAGAGGGGAAGAGCTCTCTTTTCTTTCTTTTCTGCTTTTCTTTAGCTTTTTTAGCAAGCTTATATTTTTACTATGGTTTCGAAGGGATTTTCACGGGTAGATTTCGTAATTTTACACGTAATACGACAAAAATTAATAAAAATCTACTATTTAAAATTTTAATAAAAAGTATTTTATATATAATATGATAATTTTGTGTTTAATAAGTGATATAAAATAAATTCACAAAAGGGACAGAGTAGAGTAACTCCTAAATGCTTTTTTTTTTTTTTCATATTCTAATTTTTTTTAAAAATCTTTTAAATAAAATTATTTAATTATTATTCTCGTAATTTTTTTTGGAATTTTATAATTTTATGAAAATAAATTTTTGAAAAATCATAATTTTTGGAAAATAAATTTTTGGATCTAAAACTTTTTAAAAATTTATTTTTAAAAAGATTTATAATCATTCAAAAATTTATTTTACAAAATGACCCATTTCTTTTTGAAGTGATATTGGATTCTCTGTTGTCCATGGTGCACCACAATTGGAGCTCCGAATTCTGATAGAACTCGATTCTCGATTTTCTTATCAGATTGAATCTTCTTCACGAGAAAATAACATATCTTTTGAACACTATGGAGATATTTGTCCATCAACTTGTAGAAAATGAAAATTTTAAAACATTATATTAAAGTTAGGTTTTAGTATTATTTTTCATTAAGTCCCAATAAAAGTCCTAATTTGCTGTTATTTGACAATCAATTTAGCCCTAATTGGGGTTTTTTTTTTTTTTTTTCATATCACTGGGAGAAATGGAAAAAGAGAGAAGAGGAGAAGCAGGGGAAATTATGAAAAAGAAATAATATAATCAACAAAATTTTCAAAAATTAATAGTAAATTTCTATAAATTTTCAAAAATTAACAGCAAAATGGGTTTGTGAATACCTTAAAAAAATTATAGGTACAAAATCTTTAGGGAAAAAATAAAATATAAAATATTTTTTTAAAAAAGGCTGAAAATGTAGGTAACATAGGCTAGCCACATTAATGAGCAAATGCTATCACAAGATGAAATTCAATCCAAAGCTCATATTTTCCAACTGTTAATGCAAAACTTTAGCCACAGCTTCATCATTAATTGGAATATTCATCTGGAAAACAGCCAATGTAGCAATTTGACAAGTAAATTCCAACAAAAAATAACATCAATTAATCAGGAACTGAGTTTTCAAGGCACTAAGACTAATTAAAAAAGGAATACTGAAGCTTTTCTGAGGATATAATTTCATGTCAAAAATGGGTATATCATTGTATGGTAATTGTTGTTGTACACTCACCTCGGCCTTTCTTGTATTTCTTTCTTCTCTGGGGGTCTGCTACTTTTAGCCCGCCCCCCTGGTGTCACTAAGAAACAGAACAAGTATGGAACAAAGTGCTTCTCTCAAATTTTTTCATAGAATAAGATGTACGCCTCACATCGGAGAACTTCTTCGAGTGATACTTGGCGCACGTAATCATCACTCACATAATACCACGGAGAACTTACATGTTCAGTCTCGTTCTTCTCCTTCCTCTTCTCACCTCCTTTTACGTATGCAGTGTAGTGGCCACCTCTCATTGTCCCCAAATGCTCCACGACCCCGACCAGATGGTAAATACAATTATCCCTGTCTTCACACCTGCAAATTTTAAACACGTTTGTAAATCATATAAATCAATGTTTTTATTTTGCTTGTTCTTTGTTTTTCATTAGCATAGCCTCATATTTTTAACTAACAACAGATTTAACAGACAATGTGTGTCTGTGTGTGTGTTTATATCATTTCGCACTCAGCTTTCAAAATTGACAGAACTTCAAGAACTAATCATAATTAGATTTTGACGTGCTTGAGACATGCTGGTCTGTAAGCAAATTACAATCAAAATAATCCTTGGTAGGAACATTATCAAGAGTTCAACTATTTCATGGCATAAAAGGACAGCTATAAGCTTTATCCCTTAAATCACTTAGCAGGAGGTCTAGCTGCCTTACAGAAAAGGTATTGAGAGAAATGGATGCATCAAGTGTAATATACTAGTTATATCACGTAAATCTCCAACAAAACTCAGTATATCACATACATAGAAAACCATCCCTGGTTTTTATATGGGATATTATGGCTTCTATATTGCTTGAGCTATAGCTCTAAAAACATCTATTTCAAAAAGGATGCTTTGGCATGCATTCAAAAGATCCCATGCATAAAAGTTGGACTTATGCGCAATTAACTTGGAGAGATAATATAATGAATGGTGGTTTCCAAAACTAAAACAAATTAAGATAAATATAGAGGTTCCTTGAAACTTTGAACTCTTGTATGGAAAGCCAAACTAGTGATGGACTACCATGCAGCAATGTACCATCCAAAGCAAGTAGCAAGGTCTTCAATATCCAAATACATGCATAAATGTCTAGAAACATGCACAAGTGTACGCACATGTGATAATGCGCTCATGCAAACAGACGGAGATTGAAACAAAGAAAAGTAGGTGATAACGAGAGACACAACGCAGAAATAGCCAAGGAGGTATGCACCTCTCTCTCTCTCTCTCTCTCTCTCTCTCTCTATATATATATATATATATATATAATATATATAAAGAGATAGGGAAAGAAAGAAGCACCAAGAAAGAGTATGTAGTGAACATGCAGAAGACCAAAAAAAAAAAAGAAAATCACATATTTCCCAAAAGAAATTCAAAAGGCAGATTTTTGGAAACATCACTAGCTAGGATAGGTCTCCTGATTTCTTGTTTAGAACTTCATCTAAAAACATAAACTCAGGCCAGTGTTCCAGATCTCTCAATGGTTACAAGAGTTTAGACCATCTCATCCACTCACCTAAGGTGCAAATAAATCACATCCATAATATAGCTCAGTAGAGCAATTACTACAGATAATGTTCAATAGTAAAAGGACAGCGCTTCAAGGTGGAAAATATTAGAATTTAAAGTTCTTTTATTGGGAGCATCTTGAAATTTTCTCCAACTTAATTACAAAACTTTAATCCTCACCATAATGTCCAATTTCCATTTAGTATGTTATGATTATCATTATTAACAAGAACCTTAGAAATATTACAGGGATGCTTAGAAGCTCAGGAGAGAGGCTGGACATTCATGCTCAGTAATTCTTACATTGCCAGCCAGGTTATGATACTGCTATGGCCTTTTGTTGGCATTCCTACAACATTAACTCTTAACAAAATTAATGGAATAGAGAAATAGCCAACCTTTCACTTTCAAAAGGCACAAAAGCAAATAAAGTTGGAGATGCCATAAAATAAAACTCTAGGGAATAAAATGAGCTATGAGAGGAAAAGATACCGGCTTTGTCTAATAAAAGCTCATATCACTTTAATGAAACAAACCATCCCATTCAGGTAATAAGGTCAAAATAGGATACTATTAAATTTATCCTTTTTTTGGTTGAACCATCTTATTCTATTTTCCGAACTAGCCTTTTAACTTACTTCCGGTTTAATTCACTCTTTTAGCTTACTTACTGCAACAGATAAAGCATTTTAAAGGACAAATACAAAAACAAAAAATGACATCCCACTACAGGGGAAACAATAATTAATTTAAACAAGCCAAATATTACTGAACTCTAAGATATTCCTAAAATTGTGTTCTATAGAGATCTTGAATGTGTATCATAAATGCTGTAGAAGTGTTTCTCACCATTTTAAACATCAGAGAGTTCATCATTCTTATGTAATAAACTCTGCCACAAGGGCCTATTTCATGTAATTTCCAGAAAATCATGTATTAACAAACAGGACATACATTGATCAAGAGTATAAGACTGCACCGACCAAAAGTAAATGCTAGCAGCTATCTGCAAATTAAAACAGAATGAGGCAACCAAAATGAAAAGAATACAAGAGATAACTAAAATATAAGAATTTACCTATTAAAGAGGTTAGGAAAAAAGAAAAAAGGGAAGCAAAAGAGAACAAAATTGACAAGAAGCAAGGCTGTGAACTTTAAGACATATGAAAGGTACCTGGGATCCACAAATGATCTAAGATCCAGTGTTTCTCTGAAATTGACATGGCCATTTAATTTACTTAAGCGACCACGAGCATCCTGACTGAACCTCTTCAAATGAATAGTCAGAATAGGCGGGGCCTTGTTTATGAGTACCCTCTTTGTTGCATTTCTCTTCACCTTCACGTTTTCAGAGTCCATCTCTTTATTATCACTTTCCCCTGATTGACAGTTTTCAGCCATCAGTGAATTACTCTGCTGAAATTTATCATTATGATTTTCAACATAGCAAGAACCAACAGGTTGGATTCCCCCAGATTTTTCTTGACCGCAAGATTTCGACAAGACTGAAGAATTTGATTTTATCAGATTTGCATCTTCTATCTGAGATTTTCCTTCTTTGCATCTAGATACAACTGAATTTAGCTCACTTGTTTGACCATTTTCAACATTTATACAATTTTGATTCAAAGAATCAGTTATCTCATTATGTAAAACCAAGCTTTCACCAGAACTACTTATATCTCCATTACTAATGGATCTAACTCCATTAGGACAGTGGAGTTCCTTATCTAAACTCAGTGGTTCACATTGGCTTTGAGTCTCACCTCCATTGGTTAAATTCTTTGAAATCTTAGCCTGCTTCTTCTTTGCTTTAAACTTCTGACGTTGCAGAATTTTTGCACAATTCTCACAATTCCAAGCATTATCATCAGAAAGAAGCTCTGGTTTTATGAAGTGAGCCAAACAGCTTTCTATAGTTACTGGAGAATCACTATCATCAACCTCATCAGGATCAGAATCACTGATATTCCCAGCCAAAAAACCAGTTTCAGTAACTTCATTTGCCAAAGATGGCCCAATGCTGGGCCCTGCAGCAATTTCAGGCTCATTAAACATGTCACCAAAGCCATCAAACTCCACTTCCTCTTGCCCATGACCTGCATTTGATGAGGAGGCCTCATTTTCTCTCACACTCTCCTCAATACCGGCACTTTCTTCCTTGTAAGGAAGCAATAGAATTTCAGAATCTTGAACCAGCAAGGGAAGCTCATCTTCTTGAAGGTTTCCAGAAGAATCATGTGGTTTTTGATTTCGTTCCCCCTCGAGTAAAGAAACCTGATGACTTTCTGCTAAAGCTTCATTCAGAACCAGATACTTGTCCTCAGAATCTTGAAAAAGGGAAATATCGTTATTTTGAGAAATCAAATCATTCTCGTCAGCCACTACATCTTGTTGAAGGTAATCCATCCAAGTAAAATCACCAGCCCCGGCACCGTTTTCCTGGTGTGTATTCTCCATTACAAGGTAATCCATCCAAGTAAAATCATCGGCCCCAACTGCATTTTCCTTCATTGTATCATCCATTACTAGTTCATTCTGAGACTCCACGACATCTAGGTGATTCTGTGAAGCAGAACTGATTTCATTGGCCTCAGTGCTTGGGCCAATAGCACTTGATAGTGAAGAATCACAGGAAGATGCCACCATGGTTTCTGTCAGAGGCACAGCTACGTGTCCTAGGCCTGGAGATTCACTGCTTGGAAATTGAGTTGTAACAGCCTGAGCTGGTGCCTGATCTGCACCTTTGTTAACTTTTCCTCGAACCCTGCCAACTTTTTTTGGTGGCAACTTCGTTTTCTTTGCTCGATAGACTGGTTGAGACTTTTTAAATGGGGTTTTCTTGGTTGGAACTGAAAGTGAGAGATCTAAAAATGGTTCATACACTGTTGAGGAGTGCCCACATTCCTCACAACAAAGAGTACTAGAAATTTGACCACCAAATACAGCATCCACAAATGTAAGATCCTGCTTTACTGTAACAATATCATTTTTAGAAGCATTAGTGTGTTTTTTCAGAGCTAACTCTTCCATATAAAGCACATCAAGCAAGCAACGGAGCAACTCATGACTATCATGTTGCTGATAGCCCCTAAACTGGGGAGCCTTAGCACAAACGCACCCAAAGAAGGGTTTTGGATTGATAGCATTTTTCAAACCCATCTCCGGTTTTGTTTCAGCAAAAAGCTTCTTCAAAGAAATAGTTAGCTGCCCCATGGATGCATCCATATTCAAGAAGTAGTCCCTTAGCCTGTCCAGAGCCAGAAGATTCTGCATTACTGAATTAAAGAAGCATGTATTCCCAAGATTAACCAAACCCCGAACCACATAGCCACTTTTTCCTTCCAAAGAATTTGATATAGTTCCTTCTGATTTGATTGAACTGGTAACACTGCCACTTCCAAACCAAATATCCTCAACATCAGCTGCTGATGGTTTAGATGATTGATCCTTAATTAACTTTACAACCTCATACAAAACATCTTTTTGTTCATCATTTTCTTCCATTTTCTCAACTGGAATGAATGTACTGCAAGCAAAGCACCACCTCAATTGAGGATTATCCCACTGAATCACCAAGTTGTGACGGGTTTGTCTACGATGACGGACAGCATGGGTGGTAGAAGCAGTTGGCAAACCAACTCCAGCACACACATAATGTCCACATTCCAAACAAACCCAAATGGCTTTTGACTCAGATTTTGAATCAACCAAAGCACTTCCCTTCTTCTTCCCATGTTTACCCTTTCCCTTACTTCCTCTCCTATCATTTCCGCTTTCCCTACAATCCTCACATCTAATAAGTTCAGAGGACCTAAGTTTAGTCGACAATTTATTCAGGTCAAAACCTTTGTCCAAATGGGGGCATGGTTTCCTATCTTTTACAGCAGTAACTCCATCATCAACATTTTCAATACTTGCAGTTTTATCCTGAGGTATAGCTTTTGGAGATTGGGCAGCCACAACCAATTTCTCCTTAGGAGGTCCTCGACGATTCCTCTTGTCCCTTTTCCCCATTTAGTTCCTAAAGAAACCAATTTCAAATAACCATAAACACCTTAAACCCTCCAAGCAATAAAAAAATTGTAAAAAAAAAACGGAAGCAATCAAAAATAAACGAAAAAACATGAAAAAAAATCCAAATTATCTACTTTCTTTTACATATATGATATAGACTAGTATCCATGAAAATACGCAAACTAACAATCTACTAAGAAGAAGCAGAGATTCAAAAGAAAACAATAAAGAAAGCAAATTAGGAAGCTGCCCCAGATGATTATTTGGATAGTTAAATGCAAACAGAAGCTTCCAAACTATAATTAAGGACAAAGCAGGTCAAGCAAAGAAAGCTAAGGAAGAGCATGTAAACTGTAGAAAACGCCAGGATTGAAAAACAAAGAACAGAGAAAAGGAAAAAAGGAAAGAAACTTTACCTGAAAATCTGGAGGAAGAGGACCAACAAAGATTTGTTTAGAGAAATCTTGTAAGAAAGGGTTTGTTTACATGAGGGAAGTAGAAAAGATAACAAAAAAACTGGGGTTTTGGAGATTTAGGATCTAAGTAAAGAAGGAAAGGAGACGATGAAAAAGTGGCGTGGGCATTTTAAGGGGTTTGGATGGCTTACCCTCGAAGTTTACCTCCCTCCCCCCTCTCTCTCTCTCTCTCTCTCTCTCAAATCATCAGGAGAAAGACAGAAGCAAGGCTGTGAAGTTGAAAAAAAAAAAAAAAAAAAAAAAACCTACAGCAACAACTGCCGTAACTTGAAACCAAATGGTAACATCTAAGGATTTTTTCCTTTTTTTGGCAAAAAAGTTTTCTTTTAGAAGTAAATACTAAAACAACATTTGATATTATTATTAAGATTATCATAATATTAATAATATAATTATTGATATGATTTTATTATCAAAATAATTTTATTATTTTTTATTTAAATTTATTTTATTTAGTTAATAATTATTAATTTTTAAAAATTAAAAATATTGTAATTAATATTATTAAAAATTAAATATAGTTTTATTTATTTAAAAAAATATTATTTTATTCAAATATTATTCGGATGTAACGTGCAGAAACAAAATTTCTTGATCATACTCACTTCCTTTCGTGAAATAAAAGGAGTTTTTTAGTCTGCAACAAATATATATATGTCTATTATTATATATATTTATATATATAGCTGCTTGAAAGACTATCAATGACACTTTGAGAGAGAAAGTTAAAAAAAAAATTTCTTGTGCAGGGGAAAAACAATGAATTAGTTTCAATTTTCAAACATAAGAAATTAAGAATAACCAAAATACAATGTTATATATAAATATGATAATTTAAAATACATGCAGTGATGTTAAATAATATGAATAAAAAATATGATAATAATATAATATAATATAAATATATAAATTATTAATATTTTATACAATATGAATACATAAATTTTTAGTTCTAAATATATATAAAAGACGTAAAATCTGTTCACTTCAACTGCATCATGAGAATTTTGGTCACTTAATCAGATAGCAAACTATTCTTCTATGAGTAGATGCACATGTCGAGGTACCTTGAACAAGTAGGAAAAGATGGTCCTTAATTTCTTGAGTTCCCAACTGCTTGGTCGTTGAGAATCTCGTTTTTTGTAAACTGTTCCAATCTGATTCGATAACAAAGTTAAATTTTCCAACATGAGTTTAAATGATGCTTTGAACAACGCAAAAAGTACTAGAAAAGTTATGCTTTGGGCATTTCGCTTTTTTTTATGCTTTTTCTTCTCTTCACTGTTATGATAAAACCAACTATGGCCTCTGGCTTGTGCTTGAGTGACATGGAAAATTTTGTGGCACTGCTTCCCTTTCAATCATTCTTGATTTAAGCACAAAGGTTTTGCCTTGTGTCAAACTGCTCTTCCTCCCACTCTTTGCTTCAAGTCTTTCAACATGGCCGGGCCATTGATGGGTGGAGCTTTTCTTGCTTCATCCCTTCAAGTGCTGTTTGACAAGATAGCTTCTAGCGAGGTCCTAGACTTCATTAGAGGAAAGAAACTTAGAAACAGGCTGCTGGAGAAGTTGGAGATAGCTCTGCTATCTATCAGTGCAGTGCTGGATGATGCTGAGGAGAAGCAAATTGCAAACAAAAATGTGAACAAATGGATCACTGAGCTAAAAGATGCTGTCTATGATGCATAAGAACTGTTGCACCAGATTAGCACAGAAGCTATTAAAAGAAGGTTCGATGCTGAAATTCAAGCTAGTGCAATTCAGGTATGTCGATTCTTTTCCTCTCTGAATCCATTCAATTATAAGGGGATGGAATCAAAATAAACTAGAAGAGATCATTGAGGGGATTGACTTTTTTTAGTGAAACAAAAATATGTTCTTGGTTTGAGAGAAGGTGGGGGACAAATGTTTTCCCTTGAAAGATCAGCAGCAACTTCTTTGGTAGATGACTGTGCTGTTTTTGGTACAGATCAGATAATGAGAAAGAAGCCATAACGAAGTAGTTGCTGTCAGATGATGTGACTGGAATGGGTGGAGTTGGTATGAGAACACTCTTGCAAAGTTGATATACAATGACAATGGATTAATCAACCAATGCTTTGAATTTAAAGCCATGCTTGAGAATTGGTATAGCAATTCGTGTATTTATATATTGTTTTACATAAAAATTATTTTCACAATTTGTTTATGTACAAAAACATAAAATATATATATTTTTGTTTCAGTTAAATTCATATATGATTTTCATTAAAATTTTAACTTGATTATTTTATATTTATATTTTATTTTATTATTTTTATATTGTGTCATTATATTATATTTTAAATTATAAATTTAGTCAAAAGCATTGGCTTGTGTTTACGAGGAATTTGATGCTTTCAGGATAACAAAAACTATTTTTGAACAGATTATTTCAGGGGCTTGTGGTCTCAAGGACTTGAATCAGCTCCAACTGATTTGGAAGGAGAAATGTTGGATTTCTGCTTGTTTTAGATGATATCTGGAATGAGAAATATGTTGAATGGGAAGAGCTTAAAAATCCTTTCAACTCTGGGGCAATAATTAAGAAAATTTTTGTAACAACACGTCATCAAAATGTTGCATCTATTAGGAGGCCGGTTCCAAACTCATCATCTTAATGATTAATCAGATGAGGATTGCTGATTGTTGTTTGCAAAATATGCATTTGGCAATTCAAATCCGAGAATGCGTCCGAGATTGGATGTTACTAACAAAAAAAAATAGTAAAAAGATGGAAGAAGTAGGTGATGAATGCTTCACGAGTTTACTCTCACGGTCATTTTTTCAACAATTAAAGTGGAGACGAGTCCATTTTATTATGCATGATGTTATCAATGATTTGGCTAAATTTATATTTGGGGAATTTTTTCACCGATTAGAAGGGACAAACACTACAAAGGATTAGGCTTTTAGTGGTATTTTTTTTTTCACATTTAGCAACGTGTATAAATGCCACTAAAGGATTAACAGAATTTGCCAAAAATATTTCTAGGAGTGTCGTCTATAACTGCGTCAAAGAAAATAACGACGGTTTTAGAAAATTGCCGCTAACTTAGAGGTGTTTATAATAAAAAAATGTCACTAAATTTAACGACGTTTATAATAAAAAGTGCCATTATATTTTGGCATTTAGACGCATTTTTATGTATAAATGTTACTAAATTAAAAAAAAAAATTTTATTTTTTTTTAATATTGATTATTATTATTAAATAAAAATATTAAAAGAAATAAAAATGAACTTAAATTCATAAACTGAATATTATAAATACATAATTTATCTTAATATGGATGGAATACAAAGTTTAATACATGCAATAACACTCAAATTATTTTAATACATTAATCAAAAATTTAAAATGATAGAATTGATGACTGCATATATTTGGAACATTATCATTTATTGAAAGATTTTTCTCACATTGATCACTACCATCTTCTGTTGTTGATGGTTTTCATGCATAACAAATTTTTTCAAGCAAGATTAAATCGTTTCATCAAACACCATGATCTAGAAAAACAAAACAAATGCCAAGATAAGATAAAAAAAAAAAAAACATAATAAACTATTTCAGAATGCTTTCCTAAGGATATCTTGAATGAATAAATAAATTCATGTTAACAAGTAACAATTTTTTTATAATTTAAAAAATATTTTGTTGAAAAAAAAACTAAACCTAAAATTTCATTCGTGTTTATAATTAAATTTAATGTTCAATTTCAAGTTTTTTAAAGAAAAATCTTGTTTCTTTCATTTTTTGTTCTATCTTGAATTTTTCTCACCAATCAAACAAAACCAAACTCAGAACTGTAATAACGAAATAAATTGTTAAAAAAAAAAAAGAAAAAGAATGGTTAAACACTGAAAATTACCAATGTTGAAATGGAGCTTACTAATAGAGCTTACCAATTGAGCAACAAATCAGACTGAAAGTTTAGGGATTTAACCTAAAATGTAAGAAAGCTAACTTGAAATTTGTGAAAATAAAAGGAAAGAAGATAAAAATTGATCACAAAATGACTGAAACTTTGGTGGAAAATGAGAAAAAAAGTGACACAAAATTAGCAAAAATAGAAGAAATAAGTAAGAAAAAAAAACAAAAAAAGGTCTCATGGGATTGAAATTCAAGTAAATTTTAATAGCGGGAAAGTGTGATTATTGAAGGCGTTTTTGAGATTATTCAAAGTATTTTTGGCTAAAAATACCTTAAATAATCTTAAAAAATTTGAATGGGATTATTCAAGGAGTTTTTGATCAAAAACGCCTTAAATAATCTCATTCCATTTTTTTATTATTATTCAAAGTGTTTTTAGTCAAAAACACCTTTAATAATCCCCTCTAATTTTTTTGGAGATTATTCAAGGCATTTTCTGGCCAAAAATGCCTTGAATAATCCCCTTTCATTTTTTTTTTTGAATTATTCAAGGCTTTTTTAGCTAAAAAATACATTGAATAATCCCTTCATTTTTTGAAGAATTATTAAGACGTTTTTCGTAAAAAAAAAACATCTTTAATAATCTTTTACTATTGTTTTTAGATTATTCAAGACATTTTTTATTAGACTTGAATAATCCCTCATAAAAAATTGAATTGAATTATTCAAAGTGTTTCTGGCTAAAATTACTTTGAATAATCCCCTTTGATTTTTTTTTTGAATTATTCAAGGTGTTTAATCTCCAAAAAAATTGAAGGGGATTACTAAAGGCGTTTTTGGCCACCTTTAATAATCCCCTTCAATTTTTTTGAAGATTATTCAAGAGTTTCTGACCAAAAATGTCTTGAATTTTGGCTAGAAAACGTTTTGAATAATTCCTTTAAAAAATTGAATAGAGTTATTCAAGTCATTTCTGGTAAAAAATGCCTTGAATAATCCCCTTTCATTTTTTTAGGATTATTCAAGGTAATTTTTTATTTTTTTAGGGATTATTCAAGGCATTTTAAGCCAAAAAATACCTTAAATAATCCCTTAAAAAATTGAAAATGATTATTCAATGCGTTTTCTGACCAAAAATGCATTAAATAATCCCTTACAAAAAATTAAATATGATTATTCAAGGTGTTTCTGACCAAAAATACCTTGAATAATCCCCTCTAATTTTTATTAGAGATTATTCAAGGCATTTTTGATCAAAAATGCCTTGAATAATCTCTTGCTAAAAACACTAGAGTAGTTTAATCGATTAGAGCATAGGGCTATTAACTATAAGGTTTTAGGTTCGATTCTTCTTTTCAATATTTTAAGGGTTTTTTAAGGAGTGCAAAAATACCTTTTAGTGGCATTTATATTATAAATGCCTTGAATAATCCTTTGCTAAAAACATTGGAGCAATTCAGTCAGTTAGAGCATATGGCTATTAACCATAAAATCCTAGGTTCGATCTTTTTTTCTAGCATTTTTAGGAATTTTTAAGGAGTGCAAAACTGTCCATTTACGGCGTTTACATTATAAACATTGCTATATTTATAAAAGTCAAAGTAGATAATGGTGTTTAAGTCAACAAACACCACAAAATATATTTTTAGTGGTATTTTTAAATCCAAACACTGCTATATAAGAATTTAATGGCGTTTTATAAAAAAAAAAAAAAAAGGTCTCTAACCTTATAAAAACATGAAACTTTGTGGCATTTATTTAAAAATGCCACTAAAAAATAACCACTAAATCTCTATTTTTTTGTAGTAAAAGGTAAATGCAAAAAGATAAAAAGAACTCGGAATCTGTCAAATATCAGAAAAGAATATGATCTCTTCCATAAATTAAGGATTTGATGAATCAAAGCATTTGAGAACATTTCTTACTTTGAGTTCATCATCATAGTTATAGGCTTCTCATGTTACAGATAGGTTGGTGTAATATTTGAAATGGTCATATTGATAATTCAGAGCTTGAAAGACAAGTGCTTAGCCAATTGGAGCCTTATACATTGTTAGAGCACCTAGTCATTGAATAATATGGAAGAACAAGATTTCCAGAATGGGTAAAGACTATGCATGAGAATGTGCATTCCCTGCTCCCATCCCTTGATGGTTTGAGTATATAAAATAGTCCGATTCAAGTCATTTTCAAAAGGAGATTTGCCATCTAAATTGAAATATCTTTGAATCGATGCTTGTGATGAACTTGTAGCCAGTTGAATGGAATGGGATTTTGCAAAGACTTTCCTTTCTTATGAGCTTCAATATAAGCAACATTGCATATTTAGGTCAATTTAGCATTGTTAGTGGGTTCAAAAAATTTTAAATTAAAAAATGTGTTTGTCATAACGTATAGATCTGTGGACTTATTGCTAGACATGGATTAAAAGGAGTTACCACTAATCTCTTTTGTGTTTAAGTGTGATTGATCACCTGATTGAATTTGTCTCATTTAAAGAAGAGTCTCAAAATTGACTTAAGTATATTTAAATAGTAGATTCTGATTTACGAAACCAAAATTACTTTATAATAATAATATAATAATATAATAATATAACATAAGATAATATAATATAATATAATATAATAATAATATACCATACCATAATAAATTAATAATAATAATAATAATAATTGATTCTGATTTACCGTGGACACATATGGGTGTTTACAGTATTTATGAAATTTAATAGATTTTCAATAAGTAGAGTTTTTTTTAGTTTTCTTTTCAAATGCTTTCTTATCTAATTACTTTATTTTCAAAACTTTTTGTTAGAGTGACTAAATATGGGTCTAGAAATTAATATTCCTCAATCTTTTATCTGCAAAATATTTCATTGTATAAGAAATTTTAAAACGATAACTTGTTTTGAAAAGAGAGAAATTTTATAAAAACATGAATTGATTATGTCAAATGGCATAGAAATAACATATCAGCTTTAAATGAGTGGTAAGAGATACTGATTTTGTGTTTTATAAATTTTTTTTCTTTGAATTAGCTCAAGTGTAATTTCAAACATTCGAGCATTTAATATAATTTAATTACTCTAGATGTGCATGAATATAAGAATAAAGAAATTAAAATTACAGTAAACAGTAATGAGAGCATATTACCTATAATTATTATATTATTATATTACGATTAATTAATAACAATTAAAATTGTTGGGATTCATCAAAATTTTATATGGATTATATATTTATAAGTAATAAATTTTTGTATAAATTTGAAATGGGAATAGATAACTATATGATTATAATAAAAAAATTATAGGTGAAATGCTTCGAGCAGTGACAAGTGTTATTCCACTGTTTTTCCATAAAAAGAGATACAATTAAGGAAAGATGAATTTGCATGAATGGGATTTTGGCAAGAGGCTATGGTTTGAGTGGATTCTTAGCTGTACAGCCAGTATTGTAGGACTATATAATCAGGGTTTCATAGATGTTTTAGGGCACGACCTTTCCTCTTAACATCATTGCTTCTACTAGTAAAGCAATCTCCTCCAGAAACAAGAAATATTAACATGGCTAGGCTCTCTTGGCTTCCCTTCGCCTTCTTTCTCATCTTGGCATTGAGTTTTGCTATTCAAACTGCAAATGTAATTGCATCTCATCTCTTCCCTTTTCTCTCTCTATATATTTGTTTATTTTTTGTATAATTAAGTAATATACACATATTTACTCATATGCATTTATGTATGTATATATGCATTATTATTATTATTATTATTATTATTATTTGGTCGATGTAAAAGGGGTGTAACAATCATGATCAAGTATTGCATATAAGTAATATATACTTGTGTGTATTATTGAATGTAGTTCATATTTGATAAACAATCAGAAAAATGTTTAACTTCACAAGTAAAATTAAAAGATTAATACATGTCTCATTTTTTTAATTAATTTTTCTTATTTTGGCCAATTCACTTTGTTTATATAGGCTAAATGAAACTTGCCCTAGCAGATGTATAATATATTTGATTTATATATCAGTTTGGATTTTATGTTAAAGTTTTTATTGAATTATTTTTAATAAAAAAAAAAACTTCACGAGATTCACTAAAAAACTTTCTACATCTTGCCATGATAGATGCATTCGGTCTAGATATTGCATTCCAAATTCATGTATTTCTTTTACAGGTAAAAACTTACCAATATAAATTAACATTTGAAGGAAATAAATAACGTCTCTTTACTTATTGTTTCTTGTCCACAGGCTGGCAAGGAAGGATCACTTCGCCTTCAAGGTACAATCTTCTAAAGCCACGCATTCTTCAAAATTAACTTCACTTTCTATTTCTCACCATATTTCTTATGTTAAAATGAACGAAGTTTTATAATTAAATTGTGATTTGTACAGACTGTCCGAAGGCCTGCGATTTTCGGTGTTCAAAAACTCATCATAGGAAGCCATGTTTGTTCTTCTGCAACTATTGCTGCCAGAGGTGTTTGTGCGTTCCTTCTGGTACATATGGCAATAGGGAGGAATGTCCATGCTACAACAACATCAAAACTAAGGAAGGCGCTAACAAGTGTCCATGAAATTAAGTCGAAAAAATTAGCTTAGTTGTAGGAAAGTTTTCCAATAAAGTCTTCATTTTAGCGGCTCCCAGTTTTTTTCTTTCAAATCTTACATTGATGTTAGAATAAAGATGCCGGATGAGAAATGGAAATTTGTCTTGCGATATGGAATAATTTAATTCTATTTTTAAGTTTTCCTTTTTTTATATATATATATGCATTCGTTTTTATCATTAATGGTATAATTTTTTAATTCGGAGACTGTCACACATTTAAATTTTTAATTATTTTTTTAATATACTTTAAAGAGTATGTGTTAATCTGTTAGCAGAATTTGTAAAATTTAGAAACTCCATCGACAACGAATGAGATAATTTTTCTTTCTATATATGAAAAATACACGAGAACTTCTTGATTAGCAATTAAAAAATGGTATGGTCTCTAAAGCAGCCATGTTTAATAAAATAAAAAATTTATTATTTAATTATAATTACAATCTTTGCATAAAACCTCAATTAATCAGTACCTTTCATCCATCTAATTGAACTCTTAGATTCCATTGTCAGCCCCTTAAAAATTTTCTCAAACCCCATTAACTTTTTGTCTATTATAGCCATTATTAAACTAATCAAAATGCTGATGATAACTGTAACAACATTGATAATCATGAATTAATTGCTAGAACAAGCACAAATAGTATCATTCCAATGCTAATTTTTTATTTTTAAGTTACTTGTATTGGTGGAAGCCATGACAAGATAAAGTTTTCTATTGTATCTTCTTTGAAGGTTTGCTGGCTATATGTCTTCTTCAAATGTGATGAATATAAGGCATGTTAAATGATCTATGTTGAAGGCTTTTGTTTACATTGTCAAAATGATTTCTCCATGTAAAAAATAAGTTCTCCATGTAAAATACTTAAAAAAGTTATTTGTTAATCATTTGTCATCATCTGAAACTAACGATATTAAAGTGAGCATTAAATTAATTAATAAATTCATAATTTAAATATCTTTTTAGAGGTTTTTAAAATTTAAATATCATATTAAATATTTTTCATAATTAAAAATCATTAGTGTTATAATTTTTTAAAATTAAAAATATAATGCTTTACCAACAGATTACACAATTATTGATAAAAAACTTTAATTTTTAGTAGTAAAGAGCAATTGCAGAGCCAATGGATGATGGTAATGCAAGTGACATGATCACGGGGATATATGATCATAGGTTTTTTGTAGATAGACATGTGGGAGAGATTCCTACATAAAGATATTCTCTTTCCTACCTGGACAAGGTGTGTTATTTGAGCTAAAAGAGAAGAGAGTAAGTGGTGTGTAAGACAAAAGAGAGAATCATTTGCACAAGAAGGATTCCTTTTTTTATGTTGTTTTCACCTTCTTGTACTAATTATTTGGTTTTCCTATCAAACTTTTGTTTGGATCATGTCAGGAAAATCATTGATCTGTGGGCTGTTTTAACAGATCATGTCAGGAAAATCATTGATCTGTAGGCTGTTTCAACGGGATTAGAAGGGAAAGATATTAGAGGAAGAATCCCTGGAAAAAAAATTTTTTTGAAGGTTAACAAAATCCTAGACATAAAGAAAAGTTGGAATAATTATGAAAGCAAAATGGAAATTATTTTTGTCAAAATGCTAGGAGTGGTTGCACCAGACAATCAAGATGTTACTTTATGCTTTTATGGTCAGCTTATGCCCCCAAAAAGAGCAAAGAGCAAATAGTTTATTGGTATTGTCATCAAACTTTAATCGAAAGGCTTTGAGGGTAGTTGTGAAGGTTGAGAAGCCAGCATCCTAGAAACTGTTAACAAAGGACAAAAGTCCCTCTCTCTCTTTCATACATCAGACCACAGGTGTAGAATATTCACCACATTATTATAAATTAAAAAAAAAATATACTAGATCTGTTGTTTTAGAGATGAAAACTTGTTTATTGCATCTATTTATTTCATATTTAATATATATAAAATATAAAAATTATATGTTATAATTTATATTAACACATTAAATATATTTTTATTTTTATTAAAATTTTAAATCATATAATTTTTTATATTATATCATCATATTATTATATCTCTTTAAATTATCAAGTTAACATTGCTTATGCAATGCACTCCCAATTGTATATATGGTTAAATTATTCTATTCTTTTGGGGTTATTTATGTCTCTTTGGTCTTAAAACTTTGAAAAAAATTTATGTTTGAGTTGGCAATCCCTGCAAGATATGTGCTTATCTTTATGTTTTATAACTAGGAACTCTTAGGAGTAATAATCTTTTGAAAACTTCTACGTATCATTCACAATACTTAGTTCCAGTTGATGAGATCAAACCATCTAGGTGACTAGGAAAAGGAACATCAAAACAAACAGTTTACTCTTTCTTTTTCTGTGTTTTCCACAAAAAGAATGACTAAATATTATATATTAATTGAGAATAGTCACATACACAACAAAATGGAGGGAGACAAACACTGAGCCACCAGTTGCATTATATAATAATTAAGTGAAGAGCAAGCTGCCCAACAAGGCAAAATTTTTATCAACTATCAGGTCTCAGGATCCTTATCTTCCAGGTTGAGAACCAGGAACAGGTTTTGAAAGAGACTAGAGAGGTTAGAAACGAGGAATTTCATATGCATATCATGATTTGGTGCTTAACACCTTTCCTCATAATTTCTTGTTTTGAGACCCAAACACTGGAGGAAATGAAGAAAACATGGCTTGATCAGGGGAAAAAGAAGAAAAAGCAAAAGCAACATTGAGAAACATGGGTTCATGCTGCTTCTTACTAATCAACTATTAGACAGGAATAACATATGTTTAGCGTAAGCCAAGAGCATGTGCTGGCACTATTAAAAAACATTGAGAAAAAAACTGCACCAGAGGAAGAACTTGGTCACAGAATAGTTTAATCAAATCTGCCTGAGAAGTGAATTAAAGTAACTCTTGGTAATCTCTCATTCCATGATGGTATTTTTTTTTCCCTCCCTGGAAATGGTTACTCCAAGTGGCATTGACTCAAACAGGCAGCTTAAAGATGACTGCAAAATTCACCACCTAAATGGGGTTTCTAATCATTAATGGGTCCAAATTTGGAGTTGAGGGATCCTCATAGATTACCATTTGTTTGCACACTCATGCTTAAGTGGCTTTAAACTCATTTCAAAAGACAGGTGATGATGCTTCAAGAAAAGCCAAATAAGATGTACTGTTGTTCATGAGTTTGCCTTTTAGTTAAATCAATTGGTTGGATCTATAAAGGTAACCATTATTTCCTCATTGAAAAACATAATTAATTTAATTTTGGAGCAAGTCATTTTCAATTTAAGGTTAATCATTATGTTGATGTTAATATTGATAATGAAGCTCTGGCTGTCGTAGCGTCTAGATTCGGAGATCTATCGTTAGACATTAATTTAAGGGAGTCGCCATCAATCTTTTTTATCTAGGTGCGATTGGTCACCTAAGGAATCTGTCCTTTCAAGGAACACCTAAGTTTAAAGGCCCCTAAAAAAATAGGTTCAGGTCTACTAACCAGAACAGGATTCGGGAGTTCGGTTACGTGTGAGGAAGGTTATAGTACCCTCACAACGCCCATCAAAAAATGGTACCAACTTAAATTTGTGTTATCTAATGAGCCTTAAAAATTTATCAAGTAATTAATTATTGAAAATTATTTTCAATTGACTCTAATACTTTTAGTAGACAATTGAAAAAATTTTCTCACCTCAAGAGTATGCAAGAAAAACTATTGTTTTACTTGCAGAGGCTCCATCATCGGATTATTTAACATTTAAAAAAAATAAAAGGGAGAAAAGAATGATTGTTTTTGTGCAGAAAAAATTTATACTTTTAACTTTTTCTCAAAAATTTATTTTTTTAAAAATTTATTTTTAAGGAAAATTGATACTTTCAACTTTTCCCAAAAAATATTTTTTAAAAAAATTTATTTTTAAGGAAAATTGATACTTTCAACTTTTTCTCAAAAAAAACTTTTTTTGAAAATTAATTTTTAAGGAAAATTAATACTTTCAACTTTTCCCCAAAAATATTGTTTTTTGGATTTTATTTACAGAAAATAAAATAATAAAACAAAATAAAAGTGAGAAATAAAAAAATAATAAATAAAATAAAAATAAAAGAACATTAAATAAACCTAATCTAATAAATAAATAAATTAATAAATTAAAAAAAAAAACCTGAAGCGACCCGAAAAACGGCTCGGCTCGGCTCGACTCAAGGAAGAAAAATAGCTCAAAGAAGCGGCTCGAAACATCAGTTCGGCTCGGCTATTGACTCGGAGGGGGGAAGACACGCGCGGGTCGAAAGCGGGTCGACGCTCTGGTCGGGTCGGATCTCGACAAAACGTGCAGATCTTCTGGGTCACTTAAGGTAAAAACGACGTCGTTTTGAGAAGGTATATAAGGCTGTTTCCTTCATTTTTTGGCAGAAACCTTCTCCCCTATCTTTCTTTTCTTTTATTTTTCTCTCGCTTCTCTCTAAAACAGCCAAAGAACTCCGGTTGAATATTCATCGGATTCTCAAATTTTTCACCGGAATCTGAATTTTTCGTCGAAAGTTCATCGAAAAGTTGGTTGGTTTTTGGGATTCTTCACCAGAAACTGGGCAGCTCGCTGGAAACTTCAAAGTTGACTGAAATTGTTGCCAAAAAATTTAATCTTCAGGGGAAAAATCACCGGAATATGAAAATTTTTCAAAAATTTCCAGAAAAAATTTTTGTCAAAAATCTCCAAAAAATCTTTTCGATTCTCACAGCTATTCTAATACTTCTTAACCTTCTTTTAGCCTTCAAAAATTTTCTATACGCCTTTTTCTCTCAATCAGTAGCCTTTGTGCTCACTGTTTTCTCTGTCTTTTGCTTCTGTATTCTGTACCTATTTATAGGGATTGATCAGAAGAGTTTTTGATCAATCCCTATTTCTTTTTGGAAGGGGATTCAATATTTGAATCCAATCTGGATTCTAATTGAATCTC